CGGCTTCACTGTTTTTTATGGTGCTGGGTACTGGGAGGTTTGAATTACATGCCCTCCTCGCTTGCTAGGGCTGGAAGTAGAAGAAGGCAGGCCATGGGGGCCTGGACCAGGCATGCAACTCCCACTCTGTCAATGGCTCAAACCTAATACAGAATTTGAAACAGCCCTGGTTAAAAATTTCATATGTAGTAACCTGTTAATCCTGCATTGGGCTTGAGTCAGGGGGCTGTGAGTTAGAACCACTAGCTACCAAGTTTGAGACGTTGCTCTACCATTGGCTATCAGCTATCTGAACGTATGGCTCAAAACCTATAGCGCCCCATGAACAACGGAAAAACAATTAGATAGTTATTTAAGTAAAGACGTCCTTCAACTAAAACCTCTGTAGAATTATGTCCTAATTTTCTTGCCCTCTTTCTAAATTAGTGACACTTCTAAGGTCTTCCCACCTTCCAATATTATGAAGCCTATTAAGTGATTCAATAAGACATCTATAGCTCATCTGCTGACCAAGTCCTAGCCTGCATAAGGAAGGCTAGAGGCACAACATGCTCAGCCACCCTGAGTCTGCCCAGAATGTAGAAACGGAAGAAAAAAATTCAGCCTCCTTATACCTAGAAGTCCTGCCAATTCAGAAGGCCTAAAAATAAATAAAATTTCTCTGATACAGCAAGGAAATTAGTACCAAAAAGAAACCTTTTTAAAACTTTAAGGATCTATACATCCATAAAATATACTACTTTATGCTTACTCCAGTGAGAAAAGAGAAAATGAAATGTGAACAACAGTGAGACTTGCACATATATCCTATTTTCATTAAAACTTTCACTTATCCTCACGGTTAGAGTCACATCTCAGAAAGAGCTGGTAGAAGAGCTTCATGTGAATGACATACTATGTCTACTCTAAGCCTACAACACCTAATCTCACACACACCCATACACACACACACACACACACACACACACAACCACAAAATGCTTAGAAATTATATTCATAGGTCTACACTAAAAAAAATAAGAGCTCAGCCAGGTGCCAGTGGCTCACAACTGTAATCCTAGCTGCTTGGGAGGCTGAGATTGGGAAGGTGTGTCTACACAAGAGTCTTGTTGATGGACCAGATGGGGACATCATTTAGTGAAAAAAGAGGCCTAAAGAGAGAGTATCAAGAAATATCCCAGTTGTATAGCACCTGCCTAGCAAGCTAGAAGCCTGAGTTCAAACCCCAATGCCACAAAAAAAAAAAAAAAAAAAAAAGAACGAAAGAAAGAAAAGAAAAAGAAAAATCCCAAGGTCTGTCATGCAGAACTGGACAGATGGCCTCCTCCTTTACTGAGAAGGATCAGGCTGGGAGAAGAACAAGTTTATTATCCTCGTGCTCAAGCTGCCTGACAGAAATCCAAGCAGAGAGGGACACACTAGAATGAGGGTCTCTGCTTGTCTGTGTGTACACACAATCTCACAAAATATGCTCTGCAAATACATGTAATATCAAAAAACAGAGTGAAAAGATGCACTGCAATAAATTTCAAGTGGCTGAAAACAGCTCCAGTTGGACTCTCTCAAGGATGACAAGGATCATCCTTCCTGTTACTCATGCCACCAACCCTGGAGTGCTCTCCCTTCCCCCAACTGCTCCATTCTATCCCACCAATTTCCTGAAAGAGTATCAGGGTCTTCTCTTAATCTTTTAAATCCTATGAAAAATGTAGCAAAATGTTTAGGAAAGCAGCAATCATTCTGAAAGACAGTGAAGTTGGAAATACTGAAAATTAAGATTAGAATTATGTTTTAATGGCAATCCATAAAACCTTTTTCATGAATAGTTAAGATTTCTGAACAATGGCAACTCACTCCGTGTGTCCTTGGAAAACATTCACAGAGTGGATGGAAGGGTCCCTGAAATCCCAGAGACGGAAAGTCGTGTCACGGGAGGAGGTCACCACGAGCCTCTGGGTGGGGTGTGTGCAACAGTGAGTTAACTCCTGGTCGTGCCCTACAACCAAGTACAATAAAAACACAAGATCATCCACCTGCAGGCACACAATTAGACTGAAAGAATCAAAAATCTTTGCGGACTCCATATCCAGTGAAAATTGAGCCTATAGGAATCACTTCACAGTACATGGAATCTCAGTGGAACCAGTTCTACCTCAGAGGCCTGAAGTCCCTTCAGTCATCCATTTAAAAGGAGCAGGGAGAACTAGATGTTTATATAACCCATTTTCTGATCCTAATAGAAAGTCAGAAAAATCACTTTAACAGTCTGACTGCAGCAATTTAAATCTTAATTCTTCACTTCTAGAGTAACTTCTAACAGCATAATACTATGGGCCTTCAGTAAAATACACACCTTGTATTATACCCTTCCATTTGGGCTAAACCTAAAACATAATGATACCACTCTGGTAATTAGGGTACACTATAGGGCAAAAAGAATTTCATGATGTAATTAAAGTCCCAAATCAGTTTACTTTGCGTTAATCAAAGAAAGGTTGTCCTAGGTGGCCTGACCTAATCAGGTGGTCCCTTTTAAAGTGGCTAGCCCCTCCAGAACCTCAAAAATTCAGCAGAGATGTGTTCTGATGGCCTGAAAGATAGCAAACTGCCTTTGGAGGGTCCACCAGGGACCGAGGGCAGCCTCTAGGTGCTCAGGACAGTCCCTAATTGAAGGTATCAAGAAAATGGACACCTAGTCACATGGTCAAAAGGAAATGGACTACTCCGGTAGCCAGTAAACTTGGAAGAAGACCACAAACCTCGGTGAGGTCCCACCTAGGCAACACCTTCACTTCAGCCTGCAAGGCTCAGAGCAGAGGAGTAGCTACTAGGGACCCAGAAATCCTGACCAGGAAACCATGAGATAGTAAATTCCTCTTATTTAAAACCATTAAGTTTCTAGAAATTTGTCACAAGAAACACAAAAACCAATAAAACAACCTGTATTTCAAATATCTAAATACTACATACTACAATTAATCTCCTAAAGATAAAATAAATTTAACTACCAGCAGTTCTGTGAATTAGAAAGGATTTCCAAGAATTACAACCAGAGCCAAGAGGACTAAAAACAATTCTGGCCGAGAAATCATTTGCAGGCTCAGACATCGACACATGAACATCAACTGGCAGCACCAACTAGGAGCTCAACCGTTTTCTAGTGAGGTACCTGTGAGAGAATGAACAAGTTCAGATGTCTCAACATCATACAGGTTCGCTGTTCTGTCCCACGAGGCTTCACCACCTGCTTCCCTCCAACCAGCCAATCAGCAGCTATGACCACTCCCTGGTGGCTTTTGAGAGACGTCAGTGGAACCCGAATGTAGGGCAGTCACTGGACACATCTCCATCGATATCAGGCTCATCTTTATCAGAGCACTCAATTTCGTCTTCTCCAGATATTTGTTGCTAAGGGTAAAATCAGAAAAGAAGGACTTCCTGGGAACCCTGGAAGTTTTTTCTGACATGGTACAGACCATCATTTATCTTTCATTATTCACTATTATGAGCAATACAATCACAATATCTGATTACTTGCTCAATGAATGCTTACAATTTTATAACTTAGCTATAACCAAAGGCCAAATATCAGAAAAAATTATGGCCACTATGACATCAAATGAATTCATTTCCACTAACCAAGAAATAGCAAATAAAGTTATTTTCAACATTTTAAGATTTTACCATTTATAAGTATAAATGTAATTAAACTAAAAAAAAATAATTAAAAGTCAGTAATTTATCACAATACAAGAAAAGCATTTCAATTCTCAGGAGCCTGTTTAAAATACAGGCTTAGAGTTCTACATTAAATTAACTTAGAATAGCTCTCCTAGTATTACAGCAGTAGAATTCTAAGTTAAAATAACTTACTTTCCTATGACATCAAAGAATTTTTTGTCAAATACCACAGATGAAATAAAAATGTAACAGCCAGCCTAGGAGTCAGCTCTTCAAAAAAAATGTGTATTCACTCAACCAATGTTGATCAGGTGTTTACAAACAAATGGTAATGTTTACACAGCAAAGAGGGGAACAGACAACATCTGTCATATATAAGACTATGCTCATTCTAGGTGATAAGAATCCTGGAGTATACACGAGAAAAGTTTCTACCTCAAAGAAGTTTCTTTCTGACAATGAAGAGAGACCTCACGCACACTAGTAAAGAATGTGTATCACATGTATGTACACACTACTGTGTCACATGAACACAATATGCAAGGGAATATGTCATGTATGCACACTAATACAGGAATATATGTCATGTATATATACACAGTCACAAGGTAATAAGTGCCATGAAGAAAAGTGAAACAAGATGAGGATATACAGTTGGGATACTGCTATTTTATACCAAATTAGTAAGGAAAGACTCTGACAAGTAACATTTGAGTCAGACTGTGAAGAAAGGGAGAAGCTGGGCGCCACTGGCTCACGCCTATAATCCTAGCTACTCAGGAAGCAGAGATCAGGAGAATCATGGTTGAAGCCAGCCAAGGCAAACAGTTCATGAGACACTATCTCAAAAAAACCCATCACAAAAAAGGGCTGGTGTTGTGGCTCAAATGATTATAGCACCTGCCTAGCAAGTGAGAGGCCCTGAGTTCAAACCCCAGTGCCCCTTACCCACAGAAAAAAAAGGGGGGGGGGAGAAGAAGGCATGCAGATATTGAAGGTATCAGAATTCCAGACATAGGGAAGAAAGGTAAAGGCCCCTGCTACACAAACTGAATTGCCAGGTGGGTGGAGCACAGTATGACGGGTAGGCACACAGAGTCATGCAAAACCTGGCAGACCATGGAAGGGATTTTAGATTTTATTGCGTGTATAACAGAAAATCATACATAGGGAAAAATGAAAGGAGTTTGTTGTGGGCTAAATTGTGTCTCTCTATGCTGAAGCCAACACCCAGGACCTCATAATGTGACTACATTTTGAAACAGGGCCTTTCAGAAGGTAAATTAAGTTAAAATCAGGCTACTCAAGTGGGTCATAACCAATATGATTGGTATATTGTAAGAGGGGATTTGAACAGACACACACAAAAAAAAGAACATGTGAAGACAGTGTGAAGGTGACCATCTGCAAGCTAAGGAGAGACCTTATTAAAAAAAAAAAAATCCTGCTGACACCTTGATCTTGAACTTACAAGTTCAAGATCTGTAATAACATAAATTAGTGTTGAAGTCACCCAACCAGTGGTATCTGGTCACAGCAGCCCCAGGAAACACAAGGGAGAACCTGACAAATTATAGAACAGGAAGAGAAGGCAGCCTGAACTAGAGGGGTGGTAAATGGGTGAGAAGAAAAAGGTGATTAAAATATCTTTGAGTAAAGCTTCAGGATTTGCTGACAGATGGACATCCATAGGCAGCATGAGAAAAATACAAGAGTTCACAGAAAATTGAAAGGTGTATGGTCCAACACTGGCTGAATGACAGTAACATTTCTTGACACGTGTAGCACATGAAAGGAGCAGGATGGGGGACATCCATAATCCAATTTCAGATACAGAAGGTCTGTGATATCTACGGGACACCCAAATAGAGATGAATTGGAGTAGTCAGACAGTTAGCTACGGAAGACTGTATTCAAAAGACACACCAGAGATGGTATGAAAATTTGGGGACAGCAGCAACAGCTGGTCCATACAGCCATGAATGCTGAATGAGACCAGCTGGGACTAGTGTAGGAGAATTACAAGTGAGCAACAGAGTCAGAACAAGAAAGCCACACACAGGAGAGCAGGCAGAGCATCAGAGGAAAGCCAGCATCAAAACTCAAGAGGAGGGAAAGAAAGCAGGAGGAAATAGGTATGCATTAAAGGGAGAGCCATAGTTAATAACTACAATTAAGGAGCCCAAGAAACAGCTTCCAAGTATCGACTGGACAAGCAACATGAAGGGGATGTTTGATGTCTGAGCAAAGTGGCATGGACAAAGCGTGGCCTGAGAAAAGAGTATCTCAGGAGGGACACTTCTGAGTTCAGCATGGAAAAGAAAGCCAATGAGTGGTGGTTCTTGATGGCTATGGGATGGACGTGTTTTTGGGGAAGGACTCGCGAGAATGGAACATTCTGATGAACACAGGCCAGAGTATCACTGCAGGAACAATGTTCACAAGGAGGAGAGAAAGAGTCCCAACAATGCAGGCAAGGACACAACCACAACTTAAGAGGACAGCTGGTGCCATGAACAGAAGCAGCTGTGTGTGAAAAGTAGACAGAATTCTCTCAATGCTTCCATCTTCTCAGAGAAGCAAAAGTTGCAGATGGGAGGGAGAGGGTGTGGGAAGGACTGGGAAGTGCAATGGGAATGTCACAGGTAGGGCCTCACTGACACAAAACTCCACAAACTCAAGGTAAGGACATCAGTTGTATGCTCACTGCTCAAGTGTTGGAAAAGAGACAGAGGTAAAGTAGATTAACCAGAGTTAGTATTTTCTCCAGGGAGAGGAATCCATAATTTGGTGACAGTTCAACATAAATGAGTATGCAACTAATTACTCATTTCAGATTATGCTAAAAGCTACAAAGAAAGAGTGCCAGGATGCCTTGAAAGCACACAAGTGTGGTCTATCCCCTTTAAGGAAGCCATATATGAGCAAATGTGAAGGATGAAGAGCTTGGGGAAGGTGAGAGGGAGGCAGCCTGGTAAAGTGTGGAACATGGCAAGCACAGAGCAGCAAGAGCAGCTGAGTTCAGTTTGGATGAGTAGGGAGGGAAAGTAAAAAAGCAAGGCTAGAAAGGCAATCAAAAAATGCCCTGCAAATCATGGAAGGTATTTTGAAAGGGCTTCACCTCAAAGGCAAAGGGGGATTCAGAAAGATCACTCCTGATAGACTATGGCAAAGAACTATTGTGAGCAGTCACACCTAAGCAGAGAAACTAGTTTAAGACACGAATTCAGTGATCTGGCTAGAGAGGAGGACTTGTAAATCTATGAAAGGGTACAGAATCAACAAAAATCTTTTCCTTCTGCAGAGATGAGACCTTCATTCAGGTCATGCTGCTCAAGGTAAAAATGACTCCTGGTGGATACACTTCACTGAGATGAGGAGAAAACTCCATATCCACCAAAAATTCCTGACAGGAGTGCCACAGCTCTGAGCTTTGAGCCAGCTGACTCTTGTCCCTGGTGCTGCCTATGAAGATGCTCAACAGGCACTGGCTCCTGGGCCATGAGGCTCCTTAGCAACTACAGCCAGCTGAGGAGTCCTTGTGCTTCTGCACCTGTACCTGGGTGAGGAGAAGAGCACAGTACTTTCTGGAAAGTTCTGTGGCCAAGTATCTCTGTAGTCAACTGTGTGAGCAGCTGCAAGGGTTCCTGCAGACAGACGAGGAGTAGGGAATAAAAACCTTGATGCCCTATGTCCCATCAGGCCTGTACCTCCTAGGTAACCTGACAAGAAGGATGTCCGGAGAGCTCAGTGGAGATTTCTGATACATGTAGGCAGCAGCAGTATCCCAGGGATAGAGAAAAGTAGACTCAAGAATTGTAACCACTATTGTGGCAGCAAATGCCTATAATCCAGCACTCCACTCAGAGGCTAACAGGGAGGATTATGAGTTCAGGGTCTACACAGTAAGACCCTGTCTCAAAAACAAAAAGAACTGCCGTCACTAGCTGGGCGTGGTGGGTCCGTGCCCATAAAGTACCCAGGAGGATGTAATTTTTTCCAAACTGCACTATGTACTGACAGATTCTTTAAAGTATGCATGTACTGAGTACCATAGTAAAGAACAATTATAAGTTCATTTAACCTTCGTTGGCAAAGGGCAGGGAGACAAAAGAGGTAGAAATTTTTTTTGTTTATACACATTTTTACAATCACAGAGATCTATTTAACTTTAATTATCTTTACTATTAATATTTTAATGGTATGCATAAAAATTTAACTGCACCTCAGAAAATGAAACTGGGATAAGAGGAACTACTAAAACACTCAATTAAAAAATGATGGGCTGGGTGTGACTCAAGTGGTAGAGGGCCTGTCTAGTAAGCACGAGGCCCTCAGTTCAAAATCCCACTACCACCAAAAGAAGAGCTGTAAAAATGAGCAAATACAGACAAGTGCATTTACGGCTGGAAATAATTCTTTATCCTATTCCAAATTGAATAATGTTTAAAAAAAAAAAAAGTAGAAGAGTAACATTCAAAGGCAGAAATAGCAAAACTAGATTACTATCTTAAGAATAATACACGTCTATAGCCAGACAGTCCTATTTGCTAATGCTTGCTGAATGCCTGCACTCGGACAGTCTTCCTTCATCTCATCCCATTTTCACTGTCTCCTTCACTCCTTGCTGGCAGTGTCTCTTCTAGTTTAACCTCACTCTATTGCTAGCTTCTGCTGAGGTGGCTGACTACATTCACATTTCACACCTATACAAATCTTTTGAAACAGTTGTTTAGCCCACACTCTTAATGTTCTCTTCAGAACATATTTTCTTGCTTTTCTGCAAATATGGACAGGCTGAGAATTTTCCAATCAAGTTCCTTTCTTCCTTAACAATTCTTTCAATGTAGCTCTCTCCTTCTCACAATTTATTCTAGCAGTTAAGAGAATCCATGCCATACCTTTAATACTTTCCTTAGAAATCCTGTCGGTAAATTCCAAGTTCACTCTGAAACTGGAAAATTCTTACTTTCACAAAACACTAGAATACAATTCAGCCAAGTTCTCTGGAACTTTTTAACAACGATGACTTTCCTCCATTTCTAATAACCTGCTCATTTCCTTCGAAAACTCACCAGATGCCTTTAACATCTGTATTTCTACAAACATTGTGTTCATGACGATACATATGGATCTCTAAGAGCAAAGAAGATTCTTGCTCTCTTCTTTTCTTCCTGAGCCCTCACCAGAATCACCTTTAACATTCAAATTTCTGCAGAAAACTAAGAATTTTTCTAAACATGTATCTCAAAATTCCTCTAACTTCTACCCATTACCTAGTTCTAAAGCCACTAAAGTTTCAGTATCCTACATTGGGTGCCAAAATTCCCTTAGTCAGTTCCAACTACCTTAACAAATTTCCACAGACTGCGTGACTTACTAACAGAATTAATTTTCTCACAGTTCTGGAGACTGAAAGTGTAAGATTAAGGTTCTGCCAGTGTGGTTTCTGGTGAGGGCTCTCATTCTGGCTTTTAGATGGCTTCCCTCTCACTCTATTCTCACATGCGGGTAGAGAGGGAAGTTATAAGCATTAACAGACAGAGAAGAGGAAAGCCCTCAGATTACAGCTCTATGTTCATGACATCATTTAATCTTAACTACTTCTTTAGAGGCCCCATCTCTAATATAGTCATATTAGAGACTAGGGCTTTAACACATGAATGGAGGGGTACAAACATTCAAGTCACAGCAGACACTATAAGTGTATTCTAAATTTGCAAGCACCCAGACAACAGTAGGCTTATGCTGAGTTTTCAGGGTAAGTAAATGAGCTTACACTAGTGTCGGCAACAGGCTGAGGTGTCGGCAGCTGTACCACGTATCTCCAAATATGAGCAGTCTGATCTCCAGAAGCTGTAGAGAAATTGGGGAAAAATTATCCAATGTACATGCCATGCATAAAATCTGCTCTTTATTCTGGCTAAGCACATTAGTTAGATGTTTCTAACTTAGTGATCATTTAGTAAAATGAATGTACTTTACTTATATAGCTACTTTCAGAGACTGCACAAAGCTATTAAAAGTAAAATAAATGTGCAAAATCAGGATATTATATAAAATATTTCCCCTTTCGTTTTAAGGAAGAAAGCTGTGGGAGTTTAGAAAAAAATCACAAATAGTAAATTCTATTTTCCATCAGTCTAAATAGAAATCCATCATACTTAACTCATGACTATAGCAGATTATGAAGTGTTTCAGGAAAGTCACAGTCATTTTCATGCACTCATTATCCATAGACTTTACAACTTGCCAGGCACCTATTGTACTACTAATTCTGTGCTGCTTCCCTGTTCCTCTCTTTTCATTAGCCAGTCTGTAAGAAAATGCTCTGACTTAGGAATGAAAAGACAAAGGATGGCACTCCAGAGCAGAAACAGACCTCAGATACACCAGAATGATCATGTTTCACCCTCATTCAAAGCAGTCTTCTCTTCACTTCCTCAGAGCTTCCCTAAAGTTAATGTTTAACTATAGTGTAATTTTTTTGATAAGAAAACAATTTATTCATCTGACTTGCCAATTTCTCTTTAAATCAACAATACATAAAATTACAGTCTTACCTCTTCCTCTCTACTTCATTCTGTCTCAAAGTTTCTACCAGCTCCATTTTAAAATGCCTCTTGGTTTCACCCTCCTTTCCTGAACGTTAACCTTCTAGACATATGCAATTTGCCACTCATTCTCCTCGCTTCCTTCCCTCTTCCAATCATACAACAAACCATCAAAGTAATCAGGCTTAAAATTCCTTCCCACTTTTTCCTGAAACATTTATTAAGGTATAAATTACGCCAGGAATGATCGAGACCTAATGAAAATGACCCTCCTTCCCACTGTATTCCTCTCACATATAAAAATTCTCTGACCAAATACTGAGTGGCTGCTGCATTTCAAACATTAAACTCAATGTTTTGGGCTCCTTCCTACACAATTCCAACCCTGCACGAAGCAACTCAGTCAATCTCTCAACTGTTGCGGCTCATCACCACCACGATCAGAAAAATCTGCTCCATAACCCATTTTGAAAATAAACAGCCCTGTCCCTTTCATTTCTCCATTTATCTCTGCTATTTCGTGGCTACAAACAGAACTGTGTCATTGTGATAGAGACCATAAGCTTACTAACTAGTCCTTACAGAAAGTTTTGCTGACCTCTGGTCTACCAAAAACCAACACATACCCTTCAAGATTATCACAGATAGTCTCCAAAATATCACAGGGCTCAATGGAGGTTCTGACAATTTGTATAGGAAAAATCCTCAGTACGATAATGTACTCTCTTCAAAAGCAACAAATGAAGGAATGTTTCTAAAAACCTCTCTATACAATATGGCAAATTTAAGCTATAACACAGTTTAGGTAAAGTATCTAGAAAGGAATGAAAATGCTAGCTTTGGAAAATTATCATGTTTCTTGTATTATTTTTTCTACATTTTTTTATTCAGATGCAGACAGGGTCAGGATCAGAGCAAAACCGTGTTACAATCTACTGTGATCATCATATGCAAAAATGCTTTCTAAAAACGACTTCAAGAAGAATATAAATTGATTTTAACCTCAGAAATAAATTCAAATTATTCTAACTGGTGATCCACTATTGAGTTTAAGAAAGTACAACTCAACGTATTCCTTTGTTCATTTCTCACTTAA